CTTTTTATCTATCATGTCTTTGGACTGTGGGGGAAACTAGAGCACCCGGTGGAAACCCACGTGAACGCAGGGAGAACATGCAAACTCCACACAGAAACGTCAACTGATCCGAGGCCCGAACCAGCGACCTTCTTGCTGTGAGGCGACAGCACTACCTACTGCGCCACTGCTTCGCCTAAAGTTACATTTAAAGGCTTAAATAGGTACTAGGCAGGTTAAGGTAATTACGCAAGATATTGTATGAAGATGGTTTGTTCTGTTGACTATAGAAAACAAATATAGCTTAAAGGAGCTAATAATTTTGACCCTAAAATCTCTTTTAAAAAATTAAAACTGCTTTTATTCAAGCTGAAATAAAACAAATAAAACTTTCTCCAGAAGAAAAACATATTATCAGATATACTGTGAAAATTTCCTTGCTCTGTTAAACATCATTTGGGAAATATTTAAAAAATAAAAACAAATTCAAAGAAGGGCTAATAATTCTGACTTCAACTGTATACACTCTTTAAAGCAATTAATTTACTTAAAGTGACCTTCATTTTAATAATTATGCACACAGTTTATTTACTTAGTAAATTTGGTCAATGGGTTTAGCTCACTTTTTAAACTAAACTCAACTAATCGCTTTTAACAACATAGAATCGACCAGATTTTGTTTCAGCTTCCTTAAAATATCAATCAAGTCACTCTGTTACTCCTTCCAACAACAAAATCAGTCAGAGCAGAGATCAATGAGATAAATAAACTGCTGTGAATCACAATCTGCAAATGTTGCTTAACAGATGTTTGTACAGTGTATTCTATTCTAAATATTCTATTTTGTATTCTCTATATTTAAGTAAGTCATTGCATTATAAAATTAAAATAAATAAACACATAAGCACTTGAGTAACTCAAATGTTTGTGCAAGGCTGATTGTTGAGTGTGGTTTATCTTTCACTCCAGCATCTATAAGTGAATTTGCAGTGAACTGAAACTCTAAATGCGTGTTCCTGACTCTGCAGCAGACAGACATATAAGGGCTTGTGGGATGTGGGCATGCGAGGAATGCTGAAAATATAATCATTCTGCACAGGCGCTTTCACGTCATTAACCACCTGCAAACCTTCTACTGTATTACCAATATTACTCTGTTTACTATTAATGTTAATGTTCACATTCTAACTTAAGTGGTGTGCTGCATTCAGACAATGCAACGGACTGTTGTTTATGGAAGAGATTTTTGTAGTCTTCTGCACACTGACAGCTATTTTCATACAACATATAAGAAAGTTATGAAAGCATGTTTTTAATAGTCATAACTTATCTAAAGGATTTGGCCCCTTAAAAGGGGCAACCTAACTTTGCAAGAAGAATGTGATCATTCCAGTTGGGCAAGAGGCAGTGCCAAGGCAAAGACTTCAGAAAACATGTTGCTTCATGCTGCGATGCACTTTACAGACAGTGTTTTTGCTCTGTCCTTTACTGTGACCCTGTTCTGACCCAGCTGGAAAAACACTGACACCATGTTTAGACTTTTTTACAAACAGGCTGATCATAAATAGATTGCAGAGAAAAAAACAAGTTATTCTCTTAAAGAAACAAATAAGTATTTGTGTAATTGTCCTAAATAAAAGTATGCTGCAAACAATCCCCTCCTCTATCAGTATCAGTGACAGAGTAAACGTGCATTTCTTTAGCTATAAAAAGTACACAAACAGAACACTTTTTACACTTGTTCAAATGCTCATTCATGCAAATATCTGATCAGCCAATCTCATTTTTATACAGAAAGTGTAGTGTACAGACTCGGTTTGATGTCTCTGCCGGGTCCTAAAGGCAAGAATGACGGTTGAATCAAATACGTGTATCATTTCCTTCAAAACAACTGTAGAGATGAACAAGGAGGTAGAGAAAGCGTTTTTATCGGCATATAGATCGGCTATGGAGCATGAACGCTTGTATCATCAATAATCAAGGGTCCAGGTGAAACGGATATAAAAAAACACGATAGGGAGAGGCAATTTGATTAAAAAAATAACAACATTACTGCATTAGAGCTTACATAAACTTAATAACGCAAGAGCAACATTACGTATGCAAATTAATACAATGGTTCTGTGTCAGTGAAATCAGTTTTGAAATTCAAAAATTGTAACCCAACTGGTTGAGTTATTAAATAAATAACACAATAAAGGTTTAAAATAACCCAACAAAGCACCAAATATTTTTTTAACTCAACCATTGGGTTAAATAAATAACCCAACGTTTTTTAGAGTGGTGTGTACTTATTAAAATACATTAAATCAGTGGTTCTCAAACATTTTTCACCAAGTACCACCTCAGAAAAAAAATTGTGAACAATACATGAAATACAGTAGTGTGGTAGCCCTAAAGCAGCTACAATGCTGCAGTTTAAAATCATGACAGATTAACTATTAAGAATATATATATATATATTATTATTATTATTATTATTATTATTATTATTATCTGGCACTTTAAACATTATAAGGTTGAACATTAACACTGTACTGTGCTTATAAAAAAACCTAAAAAACAAACAAAAGAAAATGTCAACGTTCAAATTAAAACTTGCATTTAAAAGTTCTTTAAAAATGGTAGGCTACTGTTCTTAAAAAGTAAAAAAAAAACTCCTGTATTTAAATGTAAAGTGTTAACCTATATTAACCTATTTATTAAAACCTAGAAATGTTGCTTGGACCTCATAAATATAGGCTATATGTCATCATATATGAACCATTTTTTGATAAATTTTGAAATATATGTTGCATGTTTGACATTGAAATTGGATTCCTCCACGTACCACTAGAAGAAAGCCCGAGTATTACTAGTGGTACACGTACCACAGTTTGAGAACCACTGCATTAAATAATAAGTGATCAAGACTTTATTACATTTGAAATGTTTAAAAATGTCTTGCTGACAAAATAGTAGTGGTTTAAAGTATAGTGGTAATGCATAATGTTTTAAAATGATGATTAGATATAGTCTTTTAATATGTCATTAAATTATTATTTTTCTTATTATGCCTGTCAGGTTCTTTTGGATAATAAAATAATAAAATAAAATACCATTTGTCCATTACCACTTAAATTATAAATCTCTACCGTTTATTTTGGTTTTATTAATTTCAATAAAAGTCACTTTATAATTTTTTTAACATCAAAAGTTATCGAAGAAAAGATCTAGGTCCCGTATAGGTTATGTAAATGTATATGTAAATATAAGCATATGTAAATGACAAAAAAACAAAACAAAAAAACATGAATCACAAAATACAGAACATTTTCAATTTACAGTTATTTTTTTAACTATATATATTTTCAGTTGTTTTAAGGCTTTAGTTTTCAGTGCTTTATTTCTGGTTATTGGAGAGGGGTCTGGATGCAGACCTGCTGCACTGCAATCTGAGCTGCATCCAATGCTTTTTAATGGGCTCACCTAAGCCCACCCCTAACCACTTTCTCCATTTGAGTGCATTGTGTCTGACATTGCATCACTGCGTGATGAAATCTCAGCTTGCATCATAAAGGCTGCATCCAGATCCTGTTGGGTTATTCTAGAAGGTTCAGATTCAATTCATACTCATTTGGAAAATGATTATGTTAGATTTGCAAAGAGCCCACTTTTCTTTATCGGCCTGCTTATGATATTCTTTTATTATTTTATATTGAATAAAATATATTCACAGAATTTTTGTTGTTTTTAAGTTTTTATAATATCACTCCAAAAACAAAAAATGCTCGACAAATATAGGCTACAATTTTCAATAGCATTTTATAGTTCTTTAGTAACATAATAAAGTTTTTAACATGCTTCAAATCTTTCCCCAAAAAGTCTTGATGTAATGCTAAAACAAAGTTTTAATAATTCTATCATTTTTATTTGAGGCGACGTGGTGGTGTAGAGGGTAGCATGTCCGCCTCACAGCAAGATGGTCACTGGTTCGAGCCTCGGCTGGGTCAGTTGGCATTTCTGTGTGGAGTTTGCATGTTCTCCCCGTGTTCGTGTGGGTTTCCTCCGGGTGCTCCGGTTTCCCCCAGAAGCCCAAAAACATGCGGTATAAGTGAATTGGGTATACTAAAAAATTGACCGTAGTGTATGAGTGTGTGTGTGAATGTTTCCCAGTGATAGGTTGCAGCTGGAAGTGTATCCGCTGTGTAAAAAACATATGCTGGATAAGTTGTTGGTTCACTTCACTGTGGCGACCCCTAATTAATAAAGCGACTAAGCCGGCAACAAATTCAATAAATAAATGAATTTTTATTAGTGCTGGGCAAAGATTAATCGTGCGTCATTGCATCCAAATTAAAAGTTAAAAGTCCAAATACAATATTTATTATATATTTTGTATATAATATGCAGTATATATGTGTGTGTATTATATATTTATTATATATATACAAAAACATACATAGAAACAAAACTATACAAACAATTTTGTTACAAAGATTCTTAAATGTATATAAAATTTGTATCATATACACATATATCTTATATCTAAATATGAAGAGTTCAGATGCAAAAACCTCTACAAGCCATTTGAAATTTCCTTTAAAAATTTGCATTTTCATCAGACCTGCGTGTAGGTTCAGTAATTTCAAGTTCATACTTCAAAATGAAATAACAATGCTCATTTCCAATGGAAATTTCAGATGGCTTTTATAGGTTTTTGCATCTAAACTCTTCATATATTTCCTCAAATATGCATGTATGTATTTATATTTACATCATAAATATACACACATACATTATGGTAAAACAAATTTTAGGTTTTGTTTTGCATGCGATTAATTTTTGCCAGCACACAATTTTATTTAATGTATTTTGTGTTTTCCTTGCGGATCACTGAGGGTTAACCTGAGCTCTTCACAGTGAATACGTCACGAGCATGCACCGGAAGTATACCGCAACGGAACGCAGTACGTTTTAAGTTCATGTTGTCAAAACTTTTCGTCCGATGTCTTGTTTTTAATATCGATAAGAGACCCAAGCGCACAGTGCCATAATGGCACACCGATATCTGCATCTGTCAAGAGGCTGCAGGAACCTTCTTCACACTCTGCTGCCGAATGTCAGATCAACAAACCGCTTTCAGTCGGTAAATGTGGAGCTTGACTGTATTTGTGTGGATATTTCATCATGCATGAACCAAACATTATAAGCTGAGATTTGATCACAAACACGCATTCTGTCGTCTGTATGGTGGTTTTGTATTGTGTGCTGCAGACAGCACTGTTACAGACCGGGGAGATTGATAGTAAACAAGCGACGGCCTGTTTGACATTGCGTTGAGTAACACGTTGAGCTCTTATTATGTCACAGCCTCTTCACGTTAAATCTGTTGTACCTTTAACACCAAATGAAAACATCAGTCTGAGCTTTTGATTCTTATATGTTCTCATATAATCATTTGAAATCTTACGTTCATTTTAAATACTGTTTTTGTAGTAAGTTATCAGTTAGAGATGGGCTAAAAGTGTGAATGTCAAATAGTAAGAAGATACGTGAACAGGGTTTCTGCTGTTTATGTAAAATTATTATAAGTAATTTAAGGACTTTTAGAAAGACCAAATAAAAGAAAATGATGTAAAGGAACAGGAAATGTCAATGTTTTCTTTAAATAAACATTTATAGGGAGTAGACCATATTTTCTATTCATAACTTCAAAATGTGAAGATACGATTTGTACCATTACTTTTTAAAAGACATGTTAAGGATTGAACAACTCACCCCAAACATGAAAATATAGAAACAGTGCTTATTCAAACTTCTGATAACTCTGATTCTATTTCTCAAAATATGGGGACTTTTTTCCACTGATGTCTAGATTTCTACGAATTTAACACAATCAACCGGGAAGAAAAATTACAAATATGTATGAAAATTTTGCATGTTTATGATTAAAAAAAAAAATCTGCCATAATGTTTTGAAAAGAAATCTTATTAATTCAAATGGAAAAGCAATTTTCATACCCCGCTAACAATTGTTTGTTCTTGTTTTAAACAGAATCAACTTAGTTTGATTTCTATTAAAGAAGACTTCATTTATTGATTTTGTCATTGTATATCTTGTTTTATGGATGTATAAATATTTGTATTAGTACGTTATTATACTTGGAAGTAGGGCTGCACAATATTGGAAAAAAATGACATTGCAATATACTGCGATATTGAGTATAATTTTACCAGATTAAATAAATGGCTCAATATGGTAAGAATTGATCATTTTAGATAGATTGGGATGATTTTGTAGAGAAGTGCATTTGCATTAAATTTACTAAACCAGTCACGAGTGCTGATAAATGCAGTACAACAAAGACATAAACTAAATAAACAGTATTTTATGAATTTATGGAAGTCTAGCAGTATACAGTGCAAAACGTTAAATGACACAGTATAATCTTCCTTATATTTATTTATATACATTTACAGTTTCTTAAAGTTGCAAACATTATCATTTTGTGTGCCTGAATGCTCAACATTGCAGATCATACAATGTGACTATTTTGGATGTGCATATTGAGATATCAATGCTGATATATTGTGCAGCCCTACTTGGAAGGCACTTTTTTGCACAGGGTTTCTGCAGGTTTCTTTAGATCAAATTTAAGAATTTTAAAGACTTTTTTATGACCATTATGAATGAAATTTTAGACTTATACAGGGCTAAACACTAATGATTTTTTCTGATGGTCCAGTTACTTCAGTAAATAGTTTTTAATTTGTATTAATGGAAAATCATGTAAAGGGATGTGTTGCTTTAGTTTTCTTTCCCTGCTTGGGGGATTTAATCAGGGCAATTAGCTGTAAACATGTCTAGTTTAGAGATGGATTATTGGTGATTGGGTAACTTTACTTGGACATAGGGAAATTAAGACCTGTTTAACAGGATTTAAGACCTACAACAAAACATTTACATGAATTTAAGAGTTTTTAAGGCCTAAAATTTAGTTTTTGAAATGTAAGACTTTTTAAGATCTTGCGGACACTGTTGCAGCTCATGCAAAATTGTATCCCATATGAAGTTTATGCTCAAAAAGGGACTTCAATTGTGGAAAGGTACATTTAGACCTTTTTTAGACCTAAATAAATCCATAGATACCCTTACAAAAAGCAAGGGAACCTGTATTTTTCCAGGAGCTTAAAAGCTTTAGATTGTCAGTTGTTCTTACAGTAACAACTTCCTTCAGGTTCTCCAGGATATATTTATAATATCTGAGGTGTCTTGAGGAATTTAGATGTTCTCCAAAGGGAACCAAAATTGTGCCATGAGTATTTTTTGGTATCTTAAATTTGATTTTGATAAGTTGAGTCTGTATATTTATTATGTCAATGTTTTTGCATTTTAAGGTCCAAGGTGTTGGACAAATTGTCCTAGACAGAAGATCCTTGCTCTCTCAGGTCTTGGGCACTTATAGAAGATTAAGCTCCAAACCTCCTAAAGGTGTGAAAGTCACTGGAAATGCAGTATTCTAAGCTAAGTTGTGTTTTAACTTATTTGTTAATGGCATTTTGTCTTTTTGCATTGAAGGTTTTGAAAAATACTTCCCTAATAATAAAAATGGGGGTCCAAAAAACAGTGAGCCCACGCCATCCAACGCTGAAGTCAAGGGTAATATTTCTGACCAGCTTAAAGTTCAAGGTAATGGCTTTCATATGATTATGATCTTTATAATCTTTTTTGTTTTGTCTGTCTATTTTAAACCAGAGGCCAAACCAACCAATTCTCAGAAAACCACAGGTGGAGGTGGAGGTGGAAGTAGTGGAGGAGGAAAACGAGGGGGACGGAAAGATGAATCCACCTGGCAAAGCCGTATTCAAAAGGTTAAACATCATGTTATTATTAGTTGTGCTGTAAGATTATTTTTTTTAATTCAATGTTTGTTGTAATCTCAAGTGGAACATGAAGACAGGATAAGACGTAGAGTTACCACCTCCTCTTTAAAAAAAACCAATAACATTTTGTTATCATCGCTCTGCAGTGAGAGTGGTTGAGCTCAAGCACATCAAATTAAAAGCAAACGAAAAGCATCTTGAAGGGGGCGGAGCATGTCAGATATTAGAGAGCATTTGATTGGTCAGAAAGTTAGATGAGAAACTGAAGAATGAAGTGACGTCAAAAAACGTTGACCATTTTAGGCAGAATGACAAACTGTAAGATTTGCATGTTCATATCTTCTATTTAAAAAAAACAAATAACTTTCTTTTAAATTCACAGGACCTTTTCTGCGCACCCTGTTCACACAGATAGATACATCATTTGTGTGTCCACGTGCAGCACAGCCACCTGAGGGGCACACATTTTCAATACTTTAAGCCAAGTTATTTCCTTCTTTGGCCATCTTTAAAACTGCCTCTCGGACACTATGCATTCTGATTGAATGGATGCTTGCCAAGGTCACGATTCAATTTCATATTAGGAATCACCAGTAAAATTAAACAACTCTCTCTTTAGTTTCACTTCTAAATGTTTGAATTACACAAAATCCACAGAAACTGTATCTCCAGCAGAAAAGATATCCAAAGATCCTGTTTTGATTTGTAAAGAAATAGTTTTTGAAACTAATTAAGAAACATGTTGAGAAATGTTTCTCAAAATAAAATATATATTGTGAAAAAAAGTGGGAAAAAAGTTGTTGTTTTTACCCAGACATTTGAAAAGAATATATTTTAGAGCAATAGTCACAATACTGTGAAATTTGGATATTTTTATCCAAGGTTATCATACCGCCAGAATCATATAACAGCCCATGCCTATTCAAAACTTTGCCAGTGACATGTATTGTGTATTCTACAGTCTTTGGCTAAAGTAAGCATTTTTCTCAAATCTCTTACTGCACCTGTAATGATTGTACAAATTTAGCATACGTGACCAGAAAAGTCTGTTGTTTCATTGTAAGAGTAAGTCATGACATTTTTAATTTAAAATTAATTTCTAAAAATCTTGCAGATTAAGATTGGGGTGTAATTAAAGTTTTAAGTCTCATAACAATTTGGCAATATGGTGTATGTTAAATAGTCAAGAAAATGATTTGATCTCTTACATTTTTCTCCATTTAATATCAACTTATTTTTTTTGTCCCTCTCATTCAGGGTGAATTTCCTTGGGATGATAAAGAGTTTCGTATGTATTTCCTGGGTGGAACAGCCTTCTGGCTAGCTATGGGCTATTATTTCTTCATTCGAGATGGAGGAAGGGAGGTCACATGGAAAGACTTTGTCAATAGTTATCTTGCAAAAGGAGTGGTATGTGATTACTTACAAGATCTTTTTTATCAATCAATATCGTTTGCTGTTTCTTTCCAGGAACGCATGAACATTGACCCTTGGGGTTATGTATTGAATCTTTTCTAGGTTGACAGGTTGGAGGTTGTAAACAAGCGATATGTAAAAGTCATCTTTACTCCTGGTAAAACTCCAGTTGACGGGGTGAGTTTATTTAGGAGGATTGCATACAGTTCTTTTTTCAATACTGCATACATTAGTGCTGTGCGATTTGGGGAAATGTCTAATTGCGTCTAATATATCTAATTGCAACAGATATTGTCATTTTCGATTTGATTAACGATTTCATTTTGTATTCAAGCTTCAGCTCAATATTCTGTATCGTAACTTCTTACTGAAGTTAAAAAAAGGAACTGAAAAAATATTAAGTTACTCCAACATTTATTCAGATAGTTTTTAAAATATTCAGCAATTAAACACTCATTTTTTTCTAGAGCAAACAGTGAATACAAATAAATGGACTTCACCTTTCTATCAACAAGTTGAACTCAAATTAGGGAGATGGTGTAGCATATTATACAAACAAAATAATAATAATTATAAAAACGAGTGGGAGGAGACGCACGATTTTCAGGAGATTATCATTTGTTTACGGGCATCCGGGAGTCTCTATGCATAAGCGGGAGACTCCTGGAACTTTTAGGAGACTGGCATCCTCTTGCGATTAGATATTCGCAGCGTTTCAAATCGCTATTGCGATTCTATTTCGATTAATCGAACAGCCCTAGAATACATGTTGTTTATTATTTCAGCCAAAACCAACAATATTTAGCATATAATCAAATAAATTACCCTAGTAGCCCACAAAGACTGACAGGGTAACATAAACTACTGCTCACAATTTTGGGGTCAATAATGCTCACATTTCTTAAAGAGTCTCAGATTAAATTGGAGATTTATTCTTTCCAAACTAAGATTGTCTGATTGATCAGATGGCTCAAGTCTGTTATGATTGTTTTACTGCTTATAATGCCAAGTCTGAGTTTAACTCTGAGCCTGAAATGCTTAGACCAGGGGTCACCAATCCCGGTCCTGGAGGGCCGGTGTCCCTGCAGGGTTTAGCTCCATCTTGCCTCAACACACCTGCTTGGATGTTTCAAGTATACCTAGTAAGACCTTGATTAGCTTGTTCAGGTGTGTTTGATTAGGGTTGGAGCTAAAATCTGCAGGGCACCGGCCCTCCAGGAACAAGTTTGGTTACCACTGGCTTAGACGTTTGTATGAAGTGAAGTGGGTTTTCTGCAAATGAAACATTTCTCATTTCATAAATGGGTACAATCCTTAGACATTGTAGATATTATGGGACAGTAATGATGGTGCCAATTTGATCTTTTCCATTTAAACTTGAGACCGGTGATGAAACATTAGAAGTTGATCAATCAAAACCTCCAAGACTTGAGCAAGACTACATATTTGGAGACCTCTCAGTTTCTCTATATCGAACACGATGAAATGTAATATTTGAGAAGTTAAATGGGGCACTTTACAAAAAACATACTTTGTATTATATTGGTTTGTTTGTGTTTATTTTTGATCAAATCATTTCAGCCTTGGTGACTATAAGAGACTTTCTTTGAATAACCTTATACTTTTAAACATTTACATAACTAGGGGACATTTTTCTCATCCCTGTAACATTGTAATGACAAACAAATACTGTGGTCATTTCTTCAAACAGCAATATGTATGGTTCAACATCGGCAGTGTGGACACATTTGAGCGGAACTTGGAGACGGCTCAGCTGGAGCTGGGCATTGAAGGAGAAAACAGACTGCCAGTGGTCTATTCTGCTGAAAGTGATGGGTGAGATAGTGTCTTTTATATTTGCAACTTACAATTTATAATGAGACCTCAAAATTGCATTTAGATTTAAGCATCTTCTCTCAAATTGGAGAATTTAATGATGTGTGATTTTATTTTTCAGTTCGTTCCTCCTCAGCATGTTGCCCACCGTCCTGATCATTGGGTTCCTGCTGTTCATGTTGAGGAGAGGGCCAGCAGGGGCAGGGAGGCCTGGCAGGGGAATGGGTGGACTCTTCAGTGTCAGCGAAACCACTGCCAAAGTACTACGAGACGAGATCGACGTCAAGTTCAAGGATGTGGCCGGCTGTGAGGAGGCCAAGCTGGAGATCATGGAGTTTGTCAACTTCCTTAAGAACCCAAAGCAGTACCAGGATTTGGGTGCCAAAATTCCAAAGGTAGCACAAGACCTTTAAATAACATTGTGAAGCTGCCAAAGAGATTGGGTGAGATTTCAACAGTGTTTAATCCTATTGTTTAGGGGGCCATTTTGACTGGACCCCCAGGCACAGGAAAGACTTTACTAGCCAAGGCCACTGCAGGAGAGGCCAATGTCCCCTTCATCACTGTGAATGGGTCAGAGTTCTTGGAGATGTTTGTAGGAGTTGGACCGGCCAGGGTAAAGACATTTCTGTTTCTTGTTATTGTTTTTCATCCGCTTTGTTGTTGTTGTGACTAAACACTCTGTTTTTGGCTAGGTACGGGATCTTTTTGTATTAGCACGGAAGAATGCCCCATGTATTCTCTTCATAGATGAGATTGATGCTGTGGGAAGAAAGAGAGGCCGAGGGAACTTCGGTGGACAGAGTGAACAAGAGAACACACTCAACCAGTTACTAGTGGAGATGGATGGTTTGTATCTTGATAACAGTAATTATTACATTTATTGTCCATTAGGTGAATAGTCGATCTGTGCTTAATTGTTAATCAACTGAAAAAAGTTTGTTTTAGGGATCTTTAATCAAAGCCTGACCATTTACTTCTGTGATGGGAATAGCGATCCATCTCTGTTGACGTCAGTTTTGGGGCTTCAACCCCAATATTCTTAACCACGCCGTTTGTTTGCTAAGTTTGCTTTTAATGTGCAAACAAAAAGCCTCGCACTTACTATCATTTGCAAGACAAGTTTATTTATTTAGCACATTTCATACACAGTTGCAATTCAAAGTGCTTTACACAAACAGGAATAAAAGAGACTAGTATAAAAAAACAAAAACAAATAATATATAAAAAGATGAAAACAGCATAAATACAGTTTTTCCATATTCCAAAACACCAGTGTATCATAGTTTCTCATTTTACTCTGGGACTTTCCCATTCTATTGGACGTCTCCAACAGATTAGATTTTTTCACCTAAAAATCGAAAAGCGAAGCTTTACAGCTCTAATTTCCCAAATTTCAACTTCCTTCTGGAAGAAAATCGCACGGCCCCTGATTTCTACCCCCTCCTGTGAGTAGATCACTTGAGCTAGCCAAACTTAATAAAAGGTATTAATCTCAGCCAGATGCCAGGGACTTTACCCCCGCAATAGATTATCTGTGGCAAGTCACGTCTCGGATCTCACTTATTGTAATTACGCTGCTATCCCACAGAGACAGATCTACCAGTATGGTGATGGCCCAAATGAAATCTTTTAACTGCCCAATCAGATACAGTTTTTCCATATTCCATTTGGAGGTACATAAGCATTCTGCAATTAAAGTCTCTGCTACTTCTGGTTCACGTGGACTAAGTATTCACACTTTTTTAGCTTTGATTCGGTTAATCCCTTGGCACATACCATCGCAGTGGTGTGATCAGTCTAGGCTGGTCACTGGAGCATACGATCACACTAGTGTGATTAGAACATTGCATCACATCATCAGCTGCTATAGTCAAATCTGCTTTTCTTCGATGACTGGCACTGAGCCAGAGGAAAGACATGTGCTGTGATTGTCATAAATCACAATTTATTATTGCTTTTAAACAAATAATGCTTATTTTAGGTGTCTCCACTGAAGCATAGACTAACATGGTGGTGCCCATCTGCATCATAAATCAAATACATGATCATTATTAAGCTGTTCTTTAAACAACAAAATGAACGTTTTGACACATATTTGAGCATTGGGATATCAAATATTTGACCATATAAATAGGATTTTTACAAAAAGGGGAAAATATAAAAAAAATGTATATAATTATATAAATCATTGTGGCTGTGGTGTCATGTGATACATGATGATGGGGGTGAGGTGGGCTGGGGAGTCAGCTAGATTATTTCAAATATCAATGTGAAGGGATTAGAAAAACGATTGTGCTTGTTTTATTAGTATTTTTTTAAGTGTGAACACTGCCATCTGAACCTTGGTTTGCAAACAAACTAGGAAAATCTGAAAAAGATAGGTCTGTCTGCTTTTTTCCAATGAACTCTGGAATGGTTTAACTGAAATGTTTACACGACAGTCAGAAACCAAAGGCATTCAAATTAACCAAAAATAGCAGTTGGTGGCATTTTTTTTTTGTCTGGGCCAAGAAAATCATGCTAGGGCGTGAAAAACCCTAAACAACACTTTAATTTCTTCATAAAGTAGTAAATTAATATAAAAACATTTACTGGTCATAAACTCTAAATACTTTGTGTAAGATCATAGACATATTTTCGGAGCTTTCCTCTAGATGGTCCAGTTTCCCCCACAGTCCAAAGACATGCGCTATAGGTGAATTGCATGAACTAAATTGACTGTAATGTATGAGTGTGTGTGCGAATGTGAGATTGTATGGGTGTTTCCTAGAACTGGGTTGCGGCTGGAAGGGCATCTGCTGCATAAACCATATGCCTGAATAGTTGGCGGTTCTCTCTGGCGACCTCTGATAAATAAGGAACTAAGCTGAAGGAAAATGAATCAATGAATGATCTGATGTAACTATTAATGATAATGTCCATCTCTTTCTTTCCTTTGTAGGTTTTAACACTGCTACTAATGTTGTAGTGCTGGCTGGCACAAACAGACCAGATATTCTAGATCCAGCTCTAATGAGGCCTGGACGCTTCGATAGACAGATATATATCGGTACGGAGTTTGTCGCTTTTTATTTTAAAGAAGTAGATTTCATAGTTGTTTTGTGAAGGGTTTTGAAAATGCTCACCAATGCTGTAATTACAGCACACTAAAACAATTCTATGCAAATGCTTGCAGGACCACCGGATATCAAAGGTAGAGCTTCCATATTCAAAGTCCACCTGAGACCATTAAAGCTGGAAGCAGAGCTGGACAAGGAAGCTCTAGCACGAAAAATGGCTGCTCTAACACCTGGTTTTTCAGGCATGTAAAGGCTTTATACTGTACATTTGGGTTACTTTTTGAGGTGTATATTGAGCTTAACGGTTTAACGGATTTGTTTTTCTTCTTCTGACAGGTGCGGACATCGCTAATGTGTGCAATGAGGCTGCACTAATTGCAGCTCGCCACCTTTCTGATGCCATCAACCAAAAACATTTCGAGCAAGCCATTGAAAGAGTAATTGGGGGTAAGAGACAAATGGGATATTTTACAATTTCACTCACATTAGAGTGCATTCATAGCAAAATGATATTAATTGCATAGTTTGGATGGGAAGTAAGATTGGGTGTCAATTCAGATGCCCTGCTGCTATTCCAATTCACAAGCTCAACTAAGTATTATAGCATAACTGAACATGCTTTGGAAATCTTAAACATTTTTCAGTTTTGAGAGCATATTTTTAATTAGTCTTTGAAAAAAAAAAAATTTAAAATGTTTTGAAATTTTTAATTTTCCAAAGCTAAAGGTCGTAACCATCAGAATTAAAACAAAACTATCGATGAAATAATTCCCTTTGAGTGCATTAGACAAGAACATAAGATTTTTTTTAAATTAAAGTGATAGTTCTGTCAAAAAAGAAACCTTTACTCACCCTTAAAGGGTTTTTTTCTCCTGTTGAACACTGAGGAATATCTCTAAAAAACTTTCTAAATCTGTAACAATTGACTTTCATACTAGGCAAAATAAATACCATGGAAGCTATATAATGGGTACACATTACCAACATTTTCCAAAATATCCTCTTTTGTGTTCAACAGAAAAAAAAGATACTCAGACAGGTTTGTGAGTTTGAGTTGAGAAAGGTTGAGTAAATGATGACAGAATTAAAATTTTTAGGTGAACTGTACCTTTAAAATCGCAAAAATAAATAAATAAAGAACTTGTCCATGGTATTTACATAGATAAATGCACTGTATATATGTACAAATATTTAGACAAACGAACTCATGTATAGATAATAAACATTGCTTATCAATATTTCAAATAAATTCTACAAACATTGATTAATATAATAAGCAACCAAACAAATTTCGCCAGGAGCATTGTTTTTTTTTTTGCTGTTTCTTCTTTAATAAAACTGCATACACAGTGAACTATCAAGCTGCTGTTGCTTTTAGATTTTATACATGGAGACATGATTGATTGTTTACATAAATACTCAGCAAGATATTACGTTGCTAGATAGATGTTATTTCTCATTTCTGTTTGCATTAACCAAAAAAGTGGGGTAAAATTAGCTCTATTTCTGCAAACTGGGTCAAGTATTTACAAAACAAAAGTATACCTGCAATTGAAGTCAGGATTTTTCGCCCCTCTGTTAAAAGTACATTTTTTTTTTCATACCAGCATTAATGATGAGCTCTGCATGTTTAGGTCTTGAAAAGAAGACTCAGGTCCTCCAGCCAGAGGAGAAGAAGACAGTAGCCTATCATGAGGCTGGTCATGCTGTAGCCGGCTGGTTTCTTGAGCACGCTGACCCCTTGCTTAAAGTAAACCTCACCCTGAATGACCTGCATTTTAATACTCTGGTGCTGTTTTAAATGTACTCAGTCATATGATCAATCATTTCAGGTGTCCATTATCCCACGTGGAAAGGGTTTAGGCTACGCCCAGTATTTGCCCAAAGAGCAGTATCTGTACACCAAGGAGCAGCTGCTGGACAGGATGTGCATGACTCTGGGAGGACGTGTGTCTGAGGAGATCTTTTTCGGCCGAATTACCACAGGGGCGCAGGATGACCTGAAGAAGGTGACACAGAGTGCCTATGCACAGGTACGTCACACATGTTTTCATCATGGCCTGTTAGAAAGTATCATCGGTGGTTTAAATAAATGGAGGATTTGACACTTTGATTGGCATCTGTGCTATTTTAGTGGCCCAGGTTTATAGACCTTTTTCTTTGTTGCACCATAGCGGCCAGCACCTTCCTGTCAGATGCTTAGAATTTTCATTTAGAATTGTCATTAGTGAGAGCAGCGTTTCTCAACTGGAAAATACTTTTCGAGTGTTTTTGTGATGCACATCGCACAACTTTGATTTTGAAAGATCTGTGTTAAAACTGTTATGCTTCGGTCAGATGCGGTTCAAGCGTGAAAGAAAAACGTTCTCCTAATTTAGTGTCTGCCATCAGATAAGTTGTTGAAATAAAGCATGTGTGTTCCCAACCTGTCAGCTCTTTTACTGTGCTCAGCTACGGGCTCTTCGAGTGTGCAGCGCACACACATCACATGCAATACATCACTGCGTTGTATAGAGCAAACCATAACTTAACAGGTATGCACTTTCCAAAAATGACCTAATATACAAATAAAAGTATGTTACTGATATTCTATTCTGGCTGATTTGCATGTTGATTCTAACGGGGAGCAGTTTAAGTTTCATGTATGTGTATCAAACATTATGGGGAATATTTGTTTGGGTTGGTTATTATGGAGTCAATCTATGGCCACATATACTAGCAAAATAAAAAAAAAGAATGTTTTGCAAACAAACAATAAAGTAGAGTGAAAAATAAATAAATAAGTCCAAATATATTTTTAAAAAAAAGCAAAAATGTATTTTTGAGAAATAAAATTTATTTTTGCTAACAAAAATAAAGAACTGCAAAGAGAAAATTAAGCTTTGAGAAATAAAAGTAACATTTGCAAACAAAAAAAGAACCCCAAAAAACAATATATATTTTCAATAAAAAGAATATATATATTTGCAAAACATTTTTATAGCATTGCCTTCACAAAACAATTGCATTGCTCATTTGTTTATTAGTCAACTGTGAGTGTGCGATGCTGTTTTCACTTTGCACTTCACATTTCTGTGCGTTTCACTTTGTGGCCCTGATTTGACAAGGGGGCGGAACTTGGGTATTTATGACAGGCCAGGACTGCCTCTATTTAAGCCACATCATCATTTGCTTGCCAACCACCATAAAACTTTGAAAGAAGAAGCAGAAGCATGGCTGAGCAGAGGCACACGAGAGAAGTTCAGTTTTGTCTAATTGATAGTTAGTTGTTAGTAGCCCCCTTGTCAAATCTTGGCCACAAGTGCAAAGTAAGAACCGCATCGCAAACTCTTGGTTGACTAAAAATCAAATCAAAGTGAGCATTGCAATTGACTGGACGGGTTTTGTAAAGGCAATGCTATAAAAATTGTTTTGCAAATAAATATATATTTTTTTTATTACAAATATTTTTTTTTTTTGCACTGCTTAATTTTTATTTGCAGTTTTTTTTTTTTTTGCAAATGTATTTTTTCTTAAAACTTAATTTACCCCTTGCAGTTTATTTTTGTTAGCAAATGAATATTTTATTTCTCAAATAAATTTTTTTTTAGATTTTTAGACATTTGCATTTATTATTTTTTTTTCTAAATACTTAATTTTTTGTTTGCAAAACTTATTTTGCAAGTATGTATGGCTCTAGATTGACTCTATAGATTATATATTTGAAAAAAAGAGAAAAAGTTCACTTCAGTGATGATGCTCCATTTAAATGACACATGATATGCTGTCTGATGACAAGGGTAAAATGTCTCTCAGCGGGTGCATTTCATTCCCATAAGATCACATTTTTAAATACTCAGTCCAGGAGGTGGCGCTGATCAACATAAGTATTAGTTCAAAGACTTTAAATACAGGTTATACACATTAAAAGTATCGTTTCAAAGCTGTCCAAATGTGAATCTTTTATATGCATAAAGCTGCCACCAGAAGTTCCAAGCATCCTCCTTACACATACACGCAAAGCATAATGGGTAATAATTTTGGATTCTATGAAAACGCTCTATATGATTGAACAATGTAATTTAGTACAGATAATTTTTTTTGTCTGATAACACATTTAATACAAATGGTGTATTAACTGCCTGTCAGATATGTCTCTTAAGGATGTATGAATTTAATCACAGGTGACATTCACAATGAAAATATTACAAGAGATTTCTGTTTTAGAAATGATCTTTAGCTTTCTGTTGATCAGAATCCCTGGAAAAAAAAGTTTACTTCAAAATATTTGGCAGAATGGCTGCTTTCAACATCATTAATAATAAGTAATAGTACAAAATGTTTCTTGACACCAAATCCGTATTTTAGATTGTGTAATAATGAGGCTAAATAATCACATTTGTCCTCTCAGGAATTATGTGTGTAAATGTGTGTGAGGATATAAATCAATGAAATGAAAGGAACTGTTTAATGTATTTAATGAAAATGTTGTTTTTCCCTCTACAGATTGTGCAGTTTGGCATGAATGAGAAGGTGGGACAGGTGTCGTTTGACCTGCCTCGGCAAGGAGAGCTTGTTCTAGAGAAACCCTACAGTGAGGCCACGGCACGTCTTATTGACACTGAGGTCAGAAATCTCATCAGCACAGCATACGAGCGAACGCAACAACTGCTCTCTGACAAGAAGCCTGAGGTGGAGAAGGTACAGCAAACTTTTGCCAGATTACATCAGAATGGCACATACACTCCAGTCACTTTACAACGTTTTGAAAGAAGTCTCTTCTACTCACCAAGGCTACATTTATTTAATCAAACATCAAATAAATACAGTAATATTATATAATAATAGCTGTTTTCTGTTTTAAAATATTAAGTAAATTTTTGAAGCATCAATACTCAAGTCTTTGAAATTCAAAAATAATTCTAACATACTGATTAGCTACTCACAATTGGTGCTCATTCGTTTATGATTGACGTCCTTAATATCAGTTTTGAGAATCTATTTTTTGTGAAAAGTGATGACAGCTTCTAAAAGTGTCTGAGAGGCATCCCCTTTTTGCCCAGTAGGTCTACCTTGTGTTTTATTTGCTAATTTTGTTGCTTTTTTTAAGATAAATATATAAATATATAAATATATAAATATATATATATATATATATATATATATATATATATATATATATATAAATATATATATATATATATATATATATATATATATATATATATATATATATATATATATATTACTTCAAAATACTTGTAGATCTGATAAGCTTTTTATATCAATGGACAATATTTTGATATTAATGTTTCACAATGTTCTTACACTACATTATTTGAATCTACCAAGCTTAGTTTACAATGTTTACATAGTTCTACTTACAAAAAATCTAAATCCCAAATATCAGTAATGTCAACAGATAGTTAAGATTAAATTAATGTCAGTTTTAATGTTATTGATTAATGCTCTTACTTTACAGATTTCATTCATTCATTTTCCTTCTCCTCCCTGGTTTATCACAGCAGAATGAACCACCACTTACTTCACAGATATATTTTAAATTTCAGGTGGTTTGTGTAATGTGTTTTATGTTTGGTAAAATAATTTCCAATGACATCTTCATTTTCAACTAATTACACTGTCTGGTTCCAATTGGTGGATTTAGAGGGTTTTGCATAAAAAGCAGACGTGGATTTAGCTGGTTTTAACGCAAAAGAAAATTTACCTTGTTAAAAAACGAAGAATTGTCTAAAGTGACATTTTTGAAAAAAATATATTTTATTAACCATTTAATAACCTTTTCATTACTTATAAAATGAAACTTCTGAACCTTATCAGAGGAGCCAGATAGAAAATGCACATTTGCAAGAAAAAAGAGGTCTGATGGATTTAAAGGTTTTTGCATCTGAACTCTGCATATATCCCAAAAATACTAAACACCACAACTGTTTTCAGCATCAATGATAATCAGAAATGTACATGGATCATGTGACACTAAAGACTGGTGAAATGATGCTGAAAATTCATCTTTGAATACCAGGAATAAATGACATTATAAAATACATCAATATAATAGTGGTGTCATGGTGGTGCAGTGGAAAGTCGCTGGTTCGAGAACCGGCCAGATCACTTGGTGTTTCTGTGCAGAGTTTGTATTTTCTCCCCGTGTTCGCGTGGGTTTCCTTCAGTGCTCTGGTTTCCCCCACAGGTCAAAACACTTGCGCTATAGATTAATTGGGTTGGCTAAATTGGCTGTAGTGTTTGTGTGTGAATTGAGTGTGTGTGGATGTTTCCCAGTGATGGGATGCAGCTGGAAAGGCATTCGCTGCATAAAACATATGCTGGATAAGTTAGTGGTTCATTCCGCTGTGGTGACTCCTGATTAATAAAGGGACTAAGCTGAAAAAAAAAACGAATGAATGAATCAATATAAAAATTAAAATAAAGTTAAAATAATAAGAAGAATAAGAATATAAAGCAGTTCTTTTAAATTGAAATAACATGTCACTATATGATTTAATTATATGTAAAAGTATTCTATCCCTATTTTAAAACATTTTAAAAGTCCTACTGGTCCCAAACTTGTGACCTGGGGTGTACATTTGTGTACAGTCAATTTTGTGCTTTCAGTAATTCTCTTTGTTTACCACCAGGTGGCACTGCGTCTTCTAGAGAAGGAGGTTCTGGACAAAAACGACATGGTTGAGCTGCTGGGCAAAAGGCCGTTTGCTGAGAAGTCAACTTATGAGGAGTTTGTGGAGGGAACGGGTAGTGTGGATGAGGACACATCGCTGCCGGAGGGCCTGAAGGACTGGAATAAGGAGCGCGGCAGTGAGAAGGAGGAGAGCACTGAAGAGCAGGTGGCCCGGCAGATCACTGGCGGGATGCCCTTCTGAGCACACCCATCCACCCGGACCACTGACGGTCAGAGCACTTATTTATCAGACGAGAAGCGCTAATCTGACAGACACTGAGGCAAGTAAACTGTTCCTGAAGGGAGCCGGGTTTACTCTGTAGTGAGGGTTGGACTTGCGTTGTGTACAGTAGGGTGTTTGTGAAATATAAACTTGGGCTGAAGTTCAGCAAAATCATCAGAAAGCATCTTCTTTTGAAGATGTGGAGTGTTTTATTTGACACATCAGCGCTTTGCCAAAAAAAAAAAAAGAAGTAACAATAAGGCTAAAGCGCTGTAGATTGACTGGAAAATTCTCTCTAGTCATTTCAATTTTGTTATTCAATGACCAAGAAGATGTGCTAATATCTATCTACATTCAACAGAAATCATCTGTGAGCTTTGCCTCTGATATGCACAGCGATGTTGTCTCTATTTCTGTACATTTACTGTAGATTCCAGTTCAAAACTGCCGCCGTTTTGTGACCTTACATGCAGGTCCGTTTGCAGTGCTGCTTGCTAAAAGACTGAAATCTACAATCATGAATGTTATGAACTGTGCACACATTCACTCGGGTTGACTGACATACTCTTCTCTCACCGATTCTTGCACTGGCATGGGCATCGGCCTTTGGTTATCCATGTTACTTTATGTGTTTATGAACACGTCCTTTAATTGAACATCATTTTTTGAAGCCTTTTTTTTCCGTTGAAGCTTGTTTAGTTGATTTACAAGCAAGGCAGCTGCTCTCTGTGGTGCAGATCGATTCAACTGTTCAAATTGGATTAATTGTACTCTACACAGGCTGCATTTGTGTGAAAGAAGATGTAGACGCAGTTCATTATGTTGGTGATGAGCTTATGAAGGTGTGTGATTCTGACAGTATATTCTGTATTTATTCAACAGTACAAATCCAAGCTTTGAGGATGATAACAACATAATCTTAGTTTTCAGCAAGACATCAGCAGGTATACTACACCTAAATGTGTATTTTGTTCTGTGAAAAAAAATGTCCAGAATCTGAATAAATCCACATAAACTTCAAGTCATTTCTCTTTAGTTCTTCTTGATAACTCCGTTTTGTTTCTGTTTAACATGGACAATATCAAATCTTATTTCAAATGTAGTTATAAAAGCTTTTAAAAAGACTATAACAAGGCGTTTTTTTACTTAAAAAAAAAAAAGTCCAAAATTGAATGGGACAGTTCACCCAAAACAAAAATTTACTCAACCTTTACTCAAGTGTAGGGATGGGTACCAAAACTGTCTACTTTATCGGTGCTAAAATATAAAACACCGAAGTATCGATAAGCTCTGACATTAACGGTTCTGCTTTCGTTACTAGAGAAGTATTGCTGAATAAACATTACTTACATTAGCATAATTTAACTCACCAATCTATTTTTAATATGCAATATTTAATAATTATCTGCACAGTTGGCAATCTCACATAAGAAATGCTTGTGTTTCCGCCCAATAGTACAACAGCGAGCTCAAGTTCATAGGCCTTCACAGTTCTCGGCTGTGCACATGCACTCGGAGGAGACTCGCGTTAGCGCACACACATAGCTCCACACTGACTCGTGCAGACACAGCTCGTGAGCTTGCACTTAATCATAGATATATACATAAAATGTTGCCTACCCAGGAATGCGCCAATCGAGCCGCCATTTTAGTACAGGGTAGGGCTCCTTTAAATTGAAAGTGGGACCAAGCTGCAGTGGAGGACTGTGGCCATCCAGAGCCAGAGAATTACACGTATATCTAAGATCAGGAGTTTTCCCGGAGGTCAGTATGCATATTTTTTTAAATTGCGAAACTTATAATTTTACATCACTTTTCTACATTGATGGATAAGTGATCGCACTGGCATTCCTGATAAAAAGCTTGTGTTTGTGTGTATGGAAATGTACTATTCTCCCTCCCTGTTAAATTGATCTAATCATGTCCTGAAACACAACCTCTCTCCTGCTTTCACTTCTCAATCTAACAGAGTGAGCGATTCATTTGTAAATGGATCTCCGTTATGAATGACTCCCTCACTAGCCGACAATAATACAAGTTTCTGGCACAGCAGCATGTTGTTGTCAACAAATTTCTTTTGCATTTTTGCTGACTTTATTCAACAAAACTAGCATAAGCTGAGTGTTTGGTGCGAGTTGGAGCTACCTTGCCTTATGGTGAATGCAGTAAGTGACTGTATTATCATCAATAACGTTACCTGTTTAGCGCAAAAGTTCATAACATACAAAAACATAAAAAACGAAATCTTACCTATGAAATGTTCTGCCTTTGTGCTTTGTTTTCTTTCTATGCTAGTTACTACACCTGTAGACAGCGCTAAAGTCCAGCATCTTCACGTAATAACACTGTCTTGACTAGTGTGGTTGAATGACAATTTTCCTGGGAGTACTGTACAAATATGGTGGCGCTATTGACGCATACTCAGGGTCCCTATGTGATATCTAGTGTATACTATATATCTATGGCACTTAATAAATAAATAGATTGGCAGAGAGAGATGGTCAAGAGGTTGTATTTCCCGAGTAGACATCCACAATGCTCGTTGCAACAAATGCAACAACTTGTTTTCTTGTATAGGCGAACGCAAGCAATCTGGCTAAGCATCTTTCAAAAGTGCATTAACTGCAGACAGACAAATGAAAAGTTTCTACTGCCTAGCTAACGGTAAATTACCCACATCCTTATGCTAGCAGTCAATCACATAAGGTCTATCTAAATTACTATAATATTAATAGTTTAATAAACACACGCATTCTGTTAGATTCAAACTGTATTTTTTTCTGCAGTAGCCTAAATACATCTTACACATTAAAATGCTTTTACTTACTGTATTTACAAATAAAGACAATGAATAGCCTAATAATAAACTATGCTTAATAAGAAATCATTTTTTTTTTAAAAGAACTGCTTGTTTTGACATTGCAAGATGCTCAAAAACTGTATTTAAAGCACTGTTAACTCCCAAACACCATTAACTCATTTATGTGAATGTGTCAATGATAAATCATAAACATTAGCAGGGATGCTTTCGGTTAATTTTCCCAACCGGCACTCATTAACCGAATATCAGCAGGTCAGATTAATAATAAATGATTTAATAAAAAATGTACTGACGTGTCTATTTTGTGTCTGACACATCCCATATTGCGTTTTAAAATACTGATTTATTTTATCATGCGAATAACAGCATACATTTAAACAACAGAACATCTTCACGCACCTGCAGTGTTTACAACAGCATAGAAGTATAAACTAAATAAAAATAATAAAATAAACAGGCCTGCCCTGGATATTTTCACTCGAATTAAAAATTTAGATTACAAAACTAAAACAATGGCTGATCCTTTTTGACTGGCTGTTTAGAATAGAATAAGAATAGGTTGTTTTTTTTAGTCATGTTTTTTTTCCGTCAAATAAAAATAGCAGGCTACCTCAAATCAATCGCTCCATTAAAAATATGCATGTAATTAATGCTCCGCTGTAATTATTACATCACATTCAAACCTGTCAACAGTAATAATATGTTTAATATGTGATTATTAAAGTTTATGTCTTGAGCTTCTGATTTTACCTTAGAGCCTCTGTTCTTTCCTTTTACTCCATCACACCTTGGTTCATGCGCACGCATCATTTTTTTATTGATTTATTTTACAATTATAAAAAAATGCAATAATAAAATACAGTGTTGTTAATTCTGTTGAATTTGTTTTTTTCCCCATAAAAAAACACTATAAAAAGTACTGAAAAGAGAACCGTTAAAGTACTGAACTGATAAGTGGCATTGATTAAAGTACTATTAAAACCTTAACAATACCCATACCTCAAGTGGTTTTAAACTTTTCCGAATTCCTCTCTTCTGGTGAATACAAAAAAAGATATTCAGAAAAATTATGAAAAAATGCAGCCGTTGGCATTCATTATAGGAACATAAAATAGTTAGTTGCTGTTTTTTTTAACATTCTTCTGTATATCTTCCTTTGTGTTCAGCAGAAGAAACTCGAACAGCTTTGGCAGTGGACGATGAGTAAATGATGACAATTTTCATTTTTAGATGAACTTTAGCTCTAACGAACCTGCACTTGAACTGAGTTTTTTGGTTTGTTTCTAGTTCAAATATCTTACATAAAATAAATACATGAAACAATTCAGAATTAAATGGGTTTCTCCTTAAAACAAGGCAAATAATCTGCCACTGGTGTAAGCAAAAATAATCTTGTTTTTAGGTTTGGTTTTAAAGGAGAATCTCACTTAATTTTGACTTGTTTTTCTGAAAACTTTTTTGTCTGTCTAGAAAATGCTCCTTGATTTATGAATTTTTAGATATTTAGTAACAAAACATTTGTTCAGTGTGAATGGATTACTTAAGCATGTAATTAGATGGAATGAATTTTTGCTCATTTTTGCAGATATTTGCATTGTAGTTATACTGCATTTTTGAAAAATCTTGCTTAACACAGGTGTTGTGAGCAGAGAGTATAGTTTGTGACAGGAATGCTCAAATAAACAGTTTGCTGTGTTGAAATACTACAGCACTCCAACAACAACATTTAAAGTGGATGTAACAAAGATTGATTCAATGCTACCAGTTGGAAACCCCCCCTAAAAACTACACTCAACAGAACACAGTGCTTTTTTTATTACTATATGAAAATCGTGCACACTTTAGTCAGATGCTATTAATTACAGGGAAAGCTCACCCAAAAATTAGAACATTATTTGTTATAGTTACATTGTTCTTTTTCTGTTGAACATACGGGAATATACAGTGAGTGTTGGATACGGCAGCCATTGAGTTTCATATTTTTGTTCCTGCTATGTCAAAGGCTGCTGGTTTCTGATTTTCTTCAAAAAAATCTTGTTTTGTGTTCAGCAAAATAAATAATTTCATAAAAGTTTCAAACCACTTCAGGGTGAGAAAACGGTGGCATCAATTTTATTTTGGGGTGAGCCGTCCTTTTAAGGGGGTTGTATGCCTGCCATTGCGTTAAATTCACCATACCCCACCAATTTTCATTTAAGTTTGTTTTTTGTAATTATGAGTTACAGTTTAATCCCTAAATGGCAACATGACAGAGATGCTGTGTTCGTGTTTAGTTTATTTGTACTATAATCCTGCACTCTAAACTTTTGCACCGTAAAAAAATGCTGGGTTCCACACAATCAATTAAGAAATGAAGTTCACTTTTTAGATTTTACAAATTTAAGTGGATTAAACATAAAACAATAAAGTTGCCACCAAAAAAACCCTTAAGAATTGTTGTTTCAGCTCATTTCAATTAGGTAGTTTGAACAAACAGCAAATGTCTTTTTTTTAGGAGTAGTACAAAAAGAGAACATATACTTTATTAAATATATGTATTCATAATCAGTTAAATATAAGTTAATAATTTTCTCTTTTTAAATTGCAAACTCTATATCGGCAGATGACTTTGATCAGATAAGGGCTATAAAACCTAGTGCATTTCAGTAAAAAATGTAACTTAAAAAAGGCAAAATCTGCAGCTAAATGTTAAATGCATAATACAAAAAACATACACATTTACATACACAGTCACACATTAGTATTTGATCAACTAATTGGCCATAGTGTATGAATGGGGGAGTGTGTGGGTGTTTTTCAGTGTTGTACTCCGTACTGGGTTGCAATAGAAAGAGTATCTGCTATGTAAAAAAAAAAAAAAACATTGCCAGAGTAATTGGCGATTCATTCTGCTGTGGTGACCCCTGATAAAGCAGAGAAAAGCCATAAGAAAGTGACTGAGTAAAAACAAAAACATTAAACAAGCACTTTAGCATCGGTAGTTTGTTCATATTTACTCAAAATTGAATCGAGCACGTTTGTAATTCGTCAACAAAAAACCTGGCCATGTGCACTGTTGTGATTTTGTTTGTCTGAAGCCCAGAGATTTTAACGAGGAGACATTCCACTCTTTGTTGTGAAGTGTTGCTGGAAGCAAATATGGATCATATTATTTTGCCCATGGGAATCTGGTGACATGCTCAAAAGAAAAAAAAAAAAGA